TGTAGTCAATGTCTTGTGAATAACAGGGACTCCATGACATACTTATGTGACCAAAGCAAAAGTTTACGACCACCGACATGCTGTCCGATGCGAAGCGCTCCTTGTTGCTCCATTTCACCTTGACCCTCCTTACAGCTGAATCTCCATTGTAAAAATCAGCACAAGGTGTAACTCCAATAGAATAAACTATACACTTCAATAAGCTATAAATCACACCTCAATATCCTTTCTGCAGAGTAAAATTTCCTTTACTTTCTAACATCGTATGCGTTTAATAATCTATCAATACCGAGTTAAAGTTCTTCAGTAGATGAAGAAAAATGACGAAATATACTGAAGCAGCAGATGACTTGACCGAACATTTAAAACGGTGATAATATCTACTTCTTTATGCGCCTGTCGATCCGATCCATAACAGTTATGAGTAGAAAATCATGTAAGATACTCTTCGTTATCAACGTGTACTTTCAGTGACATAGACTTCTGCCGTTAACTAGCGCTGGTACATCGGAACAGCCATAGAACAATCTGATAATCCTCAGTAGCATACAATTTATTCCATATTCCTACAACCATCTCCAAGACTTTGACCGGACAGTTGTGCTGCATGCTGTTTCCAGCATGCGATACATTTGCAAATCTCTTTCACATATTTTCTGTATTTTCAGAAAAAGAAAAATAGTAGGCGGTAGTAATTGTCTGTTCTTATGGACAGAACAGAAGCCCTGATTATACATAAAAATGAACACCGATTTTATGGGTTTGCTACCAAACTGATAGTTTTTGATACCGCCGGTAATAAAATAATTTCTCCTCCTATTACTAGACTTACACAACGTAGATTCATCGTCCCCTTGCTTCTAGTGAACTTGGGGACCATCTGTGCAGCCTACGGTATTTTAACAAATGCAGTGCATGAATGCAAGACCGCATCACTGGAATGGGCTAGACAAAACCTTGTTCAGACATTTGCCTTCATGAAAGGCATCATATGATATGACATGCCCTCCAGAAAGCATTACTCTTCCTGAAGTTTTCCCTCTGCATAATTTCAGCATTTCTTTAGCACTTTGCATAGACTTACGGGGTAGGTTGAACAGAGAGACCATGTGTAGTTGCATTGGTTACATTTCGCCGCCAAATTTAACGAAAGGATAACCAGCCTAGGCTGTGGTCTCTTCCCGTTTTTCAAGGATTCCAGGCCAGAAATATATAGCAACAGTTGGTTAATACAGTCGTGAGGCATGGATAATGATATAACAGATCTTAGTCTTACTTCTTAAGAAGATTTGTTACTGACAGAAATTTAATCGTTGCAGTCATTAATCAAAACTCCGCTATTGCTGGTCTCAAGTCCGGATGACAAAGGAGCAGGGTTGAAGACCGTAGCGAAGTTTCCGTAAACCTTAGCCACTTGCCTCTCAGAGTATCGCCTTCATCAA